ATTGAATGATCAAACGAACTTACCAAGTGAAGTTCGATCTAAATTATCCTGTTTTCGCCGAAGAGATTTAAGGTCCCTCCCAACCCGAAGATTTCTATATCTTCTTCCCTGGAGGTAAACGTCAATGTCATCTCTTCTCTAAATATAATGAGACCGCTCGGACACCGAGCCCACAGCGTGGTAGGGGTGGGGTTGCCCGCTCTTTTGTTTTTTACTACTACTACGCTGAATATTGTGTGCGGATTGGGTTGTCGTACAGGGGTACTACATGGTAAAATAAATCTCTTCGGCGAAAACAGGATAATTTAGATCGAACTTCACTTGGTAAGTTCGTTTGATCATTCAATTATGGATTTCAGGACAAGTGAAACCAAGAAAAGATGGCAGTAACATTAAGCAACAATATTTTAAAACAAAATTAAGAAATGCTAGATTAGAAAATAGATATTGGATCAACAGAAACAAAATGGAAATAAATAAATATAAAATAGAAATGCAAATTTTAAAATTGAGACTGAAAAAACTGCAATCCTCTAGACCTTAACCAACATTATAAACATTTGAAGTATTATTTGCCATTTACTTAGAAACTAGTTTATTAACTATTTATAACTATGACTTACTACAATGTCTGTGTCATCGTTATCGTCCCTTTCGAGCCTCGAGGAGGAAATGCCTAGAACTAGTCGCAGGAACGCAATAAAGCTGAACGCTTTTGAAGAATATAAGTAATATAACGACATGCAATTCCGAGCGAGATTCCGTGTCTCAAAAGAAACAGTGTTGTTTTTAGAATCACAATTTGGAAGCTCTTTAAAACCCCTTACCAAACTTAACAGAGCCATACAACCAGTGGACCAAATACTATAACCTTACGGTTCTATGCAATGGGAAGTTATCAACGTGTAATAGGTGATATCTTCCACATCGAACAGCCAACTGTTCGTCGAATAATGCACAAAGTAACAGCCAAAATAACTGCAATGAAATCACTTTATATTAACATGCAAAGTCAAAGTCAAAATTTCTTTATTTGTTTAGACTAATAAATAGTTCTTACAAATCGTCATTTTGCTCTTAAGGAGCCTCTACATGTCTCATAATCTTTTTACCCTACCAGCGCTTCGAGACCAACATTTGGCAAGTGCTGAGAAGAAGCGCCGCAACAAACTCAGTCACATCATGATATAAAAACATATTTAAGATGTCTCGATGCGAATAACTAAACATTGTGTTGTATCCACAACCATTATATTGTACATGTTATTATTTAAAATAAATGTTTTAATGTGAAAAATGTGTATTAATTATCATTGATCTAACCAAAAAGTTTTGGTTGGTATCCCGGTCAATAGATTGAACTGTAGGCTCCTCCTCAACATAGGGTAAAGAGTCTTCTGCTTCTTGTAGGTTATCCTGTCTAATAATAGCAACATTGTGCAAAACTGCACAGGCCACAATAACAGGAGGAATGTTTTTTATTTTAAGGCCCATTCCATTTTGTAGGCTTGGAAATCTCCTCTTTAGGACGCCAAAAAGCCTTTCAATGGGATTCCGGGTACTTATTTGGGATCGGTTGTATGCTTCTTCAGCAGGAGTTTGTGTGTTTAATATTGGCGTGAGTAAATAGGGCCGACATGGGTAACCACTGTCTCCAAGAATAACCATATTCCCGAAATCTCCACGCTCTAATTGTGCACACAGTGGTGAATCATTAAATATTGTACTGTCGTGTACAGATCCTGGCCATCTTGCTATAACATTTCTAATTCGTAAATTTGCATCACAGACCATTTGGACATTTAATGAAAAATATCCCTTACGATTTCTGTAGACTTCAGATTGAGCTCCTCCTGAAAAACAATTTACATAAATGTTACATGCAAAAACATCTGCACTTAACTAGACAGAATTATATTTTAGCAATTGGCTTTGGTAGTTACCTGGTGACAAAATTTTTATATGGGTGCAGTCCACTGCCCCAACAACTCTTGGAAATGCTGCTATACCATAAAATCCATTTGCGATGTCCACAAATTCATCTGAAGTAGGCATGTTTATATAAAGTGATTTCATAGCAGCTATTTTGGCTGTTACTTTGTGCACTATTCGATGAACAGTTGGCTGTTCGATGTGGAAGATATCACCTATTACACGTTGATAACTTCCCGTTGCGTAAAACCGTAAGGTTATAAGTATTTGGTCCACTGGTTGTATGGCTCTGTTACTTTTGGTAAGGGGTTTTAAAGAGCTTCCAAATTGTGATTCTAAAAACAACACTGTTTCTTTTGAGACGCGGAATCTCGCTCGGAATTGCATGTCGTTATATTCTTCAAAAGCGTTCAGCTTTATTGCGTTCCTGCGTCTAGTTCTTGGCATTTCCTCCTCGAGGCTCGAAAGGGACGATAACGATGACACAGACATTATTATTTACCACTATTTTGATAAAGAATAGGATTTATGATGGATTTAAGATACCGCGTAAGCACTCTCAAATTTGACGGCTGCTTAAAACGATTTGACAGTTGTTTGAGTGACGCTTAGCGTTGATTTGCGTTTCGGTATTCGAAAATTCATTTGAGTGGCGTTTAAGTGGGACTTAATTTGGACTTAATTTGAGAGGTGCTTAAAAATTGAGAACTGCTCAGATATTGTTTTGAGTATGCGAAATGTAAGTTTAGGAGCTGCTTAACTATTTGAGAAGCCGTCAAATATTTAAATGGCGTTTCAGTATTCGGCCGTATACCGCTTAGTTTAAAAGTTATTACGTTTTCTTTACAATAAGTAATTGGAAGAAAAAACATTCTATAAAAAATAAAAAAAAAATCTCAAAAATTTTTTGACCTCTTTTTTGTCGATAAAAATAGGTCTAGTTTCATCTATTTTCATATGTACACTTTAACGTGACTCACACTGTATACCTACCTATCTAGTTATTATCTTTAAAAGTAGAAACAATCAACTTTCTTTAACTTTATTTTATTATTATTATTATGTTTGTACGCTTTGGAGCTCACGGGTCAAAAGTGGCCNATACTTTTTTTTTTTTTTAAATACATAAATATTATACATAGTCACACCCAGACCCGTCACAGAAATTAAAATTCATCATTTCAATTTCTGCCCGGCCGGGAATCGAACCCGGGACCTCTCGGCATAGTAGTCCGTTCTGAACCACTACACCAAACGGCCGACTACGACTGTAATGAAACGCATATACATATAAAAATTCATTGCAACTTTGTTATACTGATATTTATTTTATTTATTTAAAATCTTTATTGCACACATAAAAAACAGTGGTACAACAGGCGAGCTTAATGCCATGTGGCATTCTCTTCCAGCTAACCAGAAAATTAGACAAAACAGAGAATTTAAGTAGGCGGTGCAAAATAGTACAAATACAAAAAAACTTATACTAATTATAATACATAAAATATTATAATATATTAATACAAAATATATACCTACATAAATACATACATATACATAATATAAGGTGGATAACGATACTGATAGTCTGTTGTATTTAATAAATACAGATGATTTTTATGAAGATATGAAAAGAAATATAAAATATTTTGATACAAGTAATTTCAACAACCATCTGTTTGATATGCCTAAAGTAAATTGTAAAATTCCGGGGTTTTTCAAAGATGAAATGGGTGGTGACATAATAACTGAATTTGTTGGATTAAGAGCAAAATTATATTGTATTGATTCCAAAACAACCTCAATATGAAAAGCTAAGGGTATTAAAAAATCTGTTACTAAAAACCTTAATATTGAAAAATATAAACGAGCGTTATGGTACAATGAAAACTTAAGAAAGAGTATGTGTATAATTAGATCAAAGAATCATCAAATACTTACTCAAAAAGTTGAAAAACTTGTGCTGAATAGAGATGATGACAAAAGACAAATTATGGCTGCAATACGTTACCATGGGGACACTATAAAACAGTATTTTAATAAATTTGGATGTAAAACTATATAATGCTACTATGTGTACTGTATAAGTAAGAGATTGTATAGCTTAATAAGTTACATGTATTATCATGTTTATAACTTTTTGTGTTAATAAATATAATTGTTGGAACAATAAATGTGGTTTTTTTTTTGTTTGTTTTCTATTTCACTGTACACATTTAAGTGATGATATAATAAAACAGCAATCAATTTTAATTACAATAACTTTTTATTTATTTTTATAAGCTACATAATTTAACATACACATCATGTTTCACAATTAAATAATAATGATACATAATAAAACAGCTACAAAATGTAATGTATAGTAAATAAACATTTTATTATATTTCACAAACAATATTACATAAACTACTAACTTCATATTTATAATTTTACACAATTAAATAATGATGAAACATAAAACAGCAATAAAATTTAATGTATAATAAATTTTGTTATATTTTACAAGCAACATTTATTTACTTAAACTAGTAAGTAGTTCTCATATCATACACACTAAAACGGTAATAAAATTAAATTTTAAACTTTTATTTTATTTACATGCTACATTACAAACTACTATACTTAGATCTCACATAATTTTTCACCAATTTTTTTTATAACACAATTTGTAGCATCTAACACTTCATCATAGGTTGAATCCACGACATATTGTACACTTATAGCACTTAGATCACTGTCTGAATTTTCTTCTTGCTCATTAAGTTCGTAAATGTTGATTTTAATGAGACGACGACCTCGTTTATCTTTATCTCGCCGTATAATGAATGATGATGATGATGTTTTTATATTTTTATATTTTTAAACCGGCAGACAGTGGTGACTGAGTTTGTTGCGGCGCTTCTTCTCAGCACTTGCCAAATGTTTGTCTCGAAGCGCTGGTAGGGCAAAAAAAGAATGAGACATGTATAGGCTCCTTAAGAGCATTTGACGATTTGCAAGAACTAATTTAATTAGTCTAAACAAATAAAGATAATTTTGATTTTGATTTTTTGATTTTGATGATTCTTGAGAACGATTTCTCTTCCTTGAATTTTTCTTTGATTTTGATTGCTGGTCTTCATTTATTGCTATTCTATTTGGTGGTAAAACATGAAGCCGCTCCTCTCGGTTGTAATAATTGAGAATAAATTTATCCGTATCCTGAGCATAGTAAAACGGATTAGTGATAGGATTGGAATCATTGTCTTCCCCAGCGTTGGCCATGATCTGCAAATCTGAAATTAACAAACAAGTAATATGAAGTCAAAACAAATAAAAGATAATCGCGATAGAATTTCTGAATAGTAAAAATGAAGCAACTCACCAATAGATATTTGACGAACGTTGCAACGTGCGCTCGCTATGAGAATAAAACAGTTAATTAAACATTGGCATTAGTTCAGCTTCGCATACTTAATTTGATACCAGACCATAAATGAAAGAAATTGTCGAGGTGTTAAATTAACATGATAGATTTGCTACTTAAGCAGTTTATTGTACTTATGTAAGTAATAGGAGCTAACGCTATATTAGGCATACGATTCTACTAATTAAATAGTTTAGCCTTGCATACTTTAATTTGATCCCTACACATGTTGGAATACCTGACCATAAATGAAAGAAATTGTAGAGGTTGTTAAATTAACACGATAGATTCGCTACTTAGACAGTTTATTGTACTCGTGCAAGTAATAGGAGCTAACGCTGTATTAGATATCGATTCGATTAATAATATAAATATGAAAGTTTGTATGTACACACGCCCACACTGTTAACTATCCATTTCCGTTTTTGCTCTCGCTCTAATCAAATGGTGATTCTTTGCAATAGAACGAGATGACATGACTTTCAATGGGCAGTTAACACTGTTGACGATAAGTATATTTTTTCATCCTTACAAACATACCGAACGAATTTTTGATGAAATTTACAGTATTATCGTTTATACATAGGAAAAAACATAAGTATAGGTTTTAAATTTATAATGATCTAGGACAAGCTAAATTTCATGCGGGCGAAGCCATAGGCGAAAGCTAGCTATAGAAAAAAAATATTAGCATCGACAATCCACAAGCGTTCGCTTATATTATTATAACAAGCTGTGCCCGCGACTTCGTCCGCGTGGACTAATGACTTTGGGTAGGCACTTTTAATAATTTAGTCTAATTATTTTACAAAGGCCTATGTTCAGCAGTGGACGTCCTATGGCTGAAATGATGATGATGATGATGATGATTCTACAAATAGCTTTTGCCCGCGACTTTGTCCGTGTAGAAGTCGAAAAAGTTCTCATAGGATTTTTAAATGGTTTTTAACGTTATTATCTAAATGTTTGAATACTATTTGATCGTTTAAACACAGTGAATGATTCAATTACATAAATTTTTAATGATACCTTTTCACGGCTTCGCTCTCAAGAATGTTAACGACCGTCAAAAGCACGTCGATAGATGGCGGTCACTAATTTAGACTTTGATTTGCTCGTTTAAACACAGTGAATTATTCAATTACATAAAATATCTTTATTGACTAAATTTTAAATATTATGAACAGGTTCTATAAATGTAATATTTAGTTCCTAATTAGGACTAATGATACGTTTCACGGCTTCGCTCTCATGAATGTTTACGACCGTCAAAAGCACGTCGATAGATGGCGTTTTTAAAGATATTTCTCACCTCTTAACTATTTATTGAAATTTAGTTTGTCACATATCGTCATAAATTGTAGCGTATATGTTAGCTTGGGTTATAAATAATAATACTGTAAAGTTTCAACAAAATCCGTTTATTAGTTTTTGCGTGAAAGAGGAACAAACATCCAGACACCCAGACAAAAAGGTTACAGTGAGCCAACCATAAAAGATAGACATATGCTGTCGCGGACTTTTTTGTAGAACTTTTAAAGGGGAAAATCCTATCATACATAATTTATGCGAAACTTTAACCGTTTACGCAGCGTCAGCTCTCAAAAGGAAAAAAATCACTGATTTGAAACATTCTTCATTGGTGCTCCGCTCCTAGTGGTCTTAGCGTGATGATATATAGCCTAAAGCCTTCAGGGATTAACGGACTATCCAACACAAAAAGAATTTTTCAAATTGGTCCAGTAGTTCCTGAGATTAGCGCGTTCAACCAAATAAACAAACTGTGATTAATAAATTGCGCCACTACAAACCGTACCAACAGATGGCGCTGTTACGATCTTACTATGGCAAACTCCACCGCGCATACAATCCTGCATCGCGGTGACGAAGTTTTTTACCCTGCCCAGTATATATAGACAAACCAAGATAGTGTAAAATAGATGCACTAACACCATAGTCCTTATGGTGATTGAGCGTCATGGTTCACAACTTCAGCTTTATAATATTAGTATAGAAGTATAGATATAGTTGGGATAGTTGGGATAAATAAAGACTGTGAGCGAAATAAAGGCTGTTATGATACATTCATACTAATAGACTAAACGTTTAAATAGCTGCTATGTCACAAAACAATGGGACAATATTATTTGATCCNAACGACGCCGTTTGTAAAATGCGGAATCATACAATTTGCCTGCGACATAGATATGTGATAAAACGTGATTGGGGTTTCAAAGTTAAATAATTTCTTAA